AGCCTTCTCCCCCATGCTAACTTTCAAACACTTCCCTGCAATTCCCAACCTCGGCCCCTCCTCTCGGCCCCGTTCGCTCGACTTAGCTTTCACAGGGCGGGAGGTCCGATTCCATCCTCGACAAAAGCAGCACGGCAGCTAACTAGCACGTTCCTGCAGTTGACGCCTTCCTCTTCACCTGCCAGAAAACACCAAGGGGAGAAAACACAACCGGCCGTTGCCATCGCGCTGCTCCGTGCCTACCTCTTCCACGACACCCGCCTATACTCAGAAGCGTCGCGGGGTTCCGCTCACCGGCTCTTTGCAGAGTCAGATGCTGCAGCCGTCGTCGCTGGCGTTACCTAAGATACCGAGAGACAAAGTTTCCCTTGCGCTTCTAACGAGTCACCCACGATCCTCCTTGCGACTACCCCGGCTCGCTTCAAACGCTCATCCGATCCCAAAGGCGACTCCCAAAGCACCTGCAAAAACAAGGCGAGCGCTCAACGGAGCGGTCCTACGATACTTCCGTATTAGACACCGACCTGGCTGACAACCGCCTCACCTTCTCAGACTGTCGGTCTGCGTGCGGCTCGGCCCCTCCGCGGCACCTGCAAAAAACTCAAGGAAAAGACACGTGCCGAGTTACCGCCTGAAACTGGGGTCTGCCCGCACGGATCCCCATCTCCCGCTCCCTTACCTCGGCCCTTCACCTGCCCAGCCGCTGCTGTTTCCGGTTGTCACGTCAAGGCTCGTGTGCCACCTGTAACACACTTACAACAAGGGATGCTTCTACTTTCACCGACAATTGGATGCCTAAAATAAGAACTGCTACTTTAACCCCCCTAGTCGTGGCTCACCTCGCCCAAGCTGCCTCCGGTGCCGAAATCCTACTTTGCTTGTGGCTCTCCATCTAAAAAACAAAAACAACAAACAAAAAACACCACACACCGCTATCATCCCCTCAGATAGCACCGGTGCCATCTTCCCTGCCGCAGCGCTCAGTGACCCACCTTCTCACAGCCCTCCGCTCACCTCCTCCGTCACTCTTTGGTGCGCATCTCATCCATCTGCATGTCAAAACAGTCATGCGAGTCGCCCGGATGCATAACAAATCCGGAGGTGTCACTTCCGGCTAGGGATACTAGCAGGCATCCAACTACAGCCTGTTGTTAAAAAGAAAACCACGCGCCTCCCCGCAAAGAGTACGCTCCCACACCTACGAGCCTTAACACCTTTGAGATTCCATCTCATTTGCTACTGCTGGACAGCCGCTCCCACACCGCTCCAACAGTCTCCATAAAACGCCCTAGAAATGACCGGCCGCACAGCCTGTGGTGGCTACTTCGAGGTGAACGTACGTCTGTCGCCTAGGCGGTCTAAGCGTATCAACATTTAAACCGTTGACTTCTACTGCTGTTCTACTTACTCCTGACCCTACACCCCCCAGGCAGGGCAGCTCTGAGCCAAACAGGCACACGCATACGGTAATGCTAAACGCTACAAAAGGTTTGATTCCAAGATAAACCCTAAGCGATAAGGACTCTCAGACAAGATACCATGTCAGGCGAGAAGACCTAGAGGGCCACAACCGGGAGGCGAGGAGGCTATACGGCAGCCCCAGGAAGAGTCACCCGTTATGGCCCGTTATAAGAAGCTACCGTCAAAACCGAGACGGTGGATGAGAAGTAGGAGTCCGAATCCTAGGACGGAGGGATGCAGGGGAGACGTCGCAGTCCGTGAAAATGGATGCCTAAGGAGCAGAGCTGATGCCGCACCCGGCGACGATGCTGCGCTAAAGACTCCCGACCGGAAACTTCCAAGACCTACCCACGCTTTAAGCTGATAACGCAAGAATAAAAAAGCACCCGATCGGCAGCGTGCCGATGAAGATGGGCGTTCGATACCTTAGGGATGTCCCCTGAGACGCGTGCCGTGCTCCTCGAGCCCAAAGAGAAGTGAGGACATTTAGAGCCGAGGAAGGGCAAAGACACGGCAGACAGAAGAAACAAACTACACGATGACACACGCAGAGGCGGGAACTGCCCTGCCCGGGACACGCTAACATCGAGGGGAAAAGTAACCCGTTCCCTTTACCTGACCGGAGGGCCCCGCTCCCGTACAGCCTTCTCCCCCGTGCTAACTTTCAAACCCTTCCCTGCAATTCCCAACCTCGGCCCCTCCTCTCGGCCCCGTTCGCTCGACTCAGCTTTCAGAGGGCGGAGGTCCGATTCCATCCTCGACAAAAGCAGCGCGGCAACTAACTAGCACGTTCCTGCAGTTGACGCCTTCCTCTTCACCTGCAAGAAAAAAAACAAACGGGAGAAAACACAACCGGCTGTTCCCGGGGAGGCCACACCAAAAAATTTCTGCCTGCCTGTTTTGCCAATTGACGCGGTTAACACAAAGGACACATCACCAAGCTAAAGAAATAGGCTTATTTTACTTTGCTTTAAAGCAGCAGAAAGAATAAGCGAGGTAACGCAGCTAGTCATTACCACATAAAGCTAGCTCTAGGGATTAAGAAAGACACATCACCAATTGCCTTCGTACTTTACCATCATCCAGACCCGTGCATCAGCTGGGGAGCCCCGTCGCAGCGAAGGATCGGAGAGCCTTTCCCGGCAATTGGGAAGTCCCACGCAGTGCGTCCACTCGTAGGTAAGGTCTCCGTCTTTGCTGCGAGAGGGTCCGGCTTTTATACAGTTTAACAAGCAAGTCTATAGAAAATGCACAGGAGATATCTGGGAGGTTGATACGCCTCACTCGGGCACGTCCAGATCTGGCCAGGATCCGGGCATGTCTGAGGAGTTACTCTTTTTCTGTACATTTGGGATTTATAGTTACTTCCTGTCGTTTACTGATTGTTCCCAGGGATCGTTCCCAGGGGTGCATTTTCACGCTGATAAGACGCTGGTTGCTGGTCGGGGGATTCACTCACAAGTCAACCTTGGTTTGAGGCCCATCGTTCGGCCCTTTTTTGTTTCACTGCCTTAAAAACACCAGCCTGAGACAGACCTGCGCCCAAACATAGGCGACAACAGTCGCCTTGCACACCGGACGGGACCGGGGAGTAAAAACCCAGCCAGGGGACAGGAAAAGAAAAAACTTTTTGTCCCCCAGCCGTTTTGGGCTTTTTGCATTTTTGGTTTTGTGTGGTTTGGTTTTTCCTTTGTTTTTGGGTTGGTTTTTTTTTTAATTTCTATTTTGTCTGTCTACTGCCTCTAAACAAAGCTACACAAACTACAGCCCGTAAGGAAAAAACAAAACATCAACCATTCAGGCACTGCTACACACATTTTAAACGCCACACAGCCAGCTACCAGTCAAACCACCACCCGCTCTCCCCTCGGCCACCCTACCACCAAAACCGCCACAAGCCATCACCCTCCGTGATCCTCAGAAACACCAGGTACGGGGGCCTCAAAAAATCATCCTCCCTGAAAAAACTCCAGCCTGAGCCTGACCTGCACCCAAATCCCGATAACGATCCTTGCATCGCACACCGGCCGGGACCAGGGAAAAACTACCCAGCCAGGAGACGGGAAAAACAGAAGTTTATTCCCCTGACAGAGGTTTTCATTAAATCCAGTCTACGTAGTCAAATTGAGCCCCGCCTACATCCTGCAAGAAAAGAGACAACATATACTCATACACGGCTAGACACCTTCTAAACGTGCCGCTATTCCACCTACCGCCAAAACCAACCCCCGCTCTCCACCGGCCCATCCTTCCGCCCAACCGTCACGACGGGCAGTCACCCCCTGAATACTGTTCCTGGGGGACTCGAGCGCCTAGCCTGAGGAAATCCCGGCCCAAACCTGACCTTCACCCAGACGCCGACTGTGACCGTCACCCTCAGAGAGCATCTGCGACTGGGTGAAAATAAACCCCACCGGGGAGACAAAGATGTCACCCAGTTGGAGGATTTGTTTTCTTGTTTAAAACAAACCCATACAGTATACCCGTGAACTCTGTTCCACCTAGCCCTGACTCCACACCCCCGGGCAGAGCAGCTCCGAGCCACACACACACACGCAAAATACTACAAATGACGCGATTCAAAGAGGACTAAACGCTAAGCGATAAGGACACCCAGGAGGGTATGCCGTAAGGCGAGAAGACTCGGAGGGCCACGATGCTGACGCGAGGAGGCTATATGGCAGCCTACAAGAAGCACTAAGTGGAACGGCCCCTTACGAGAAGCTACCGTCAAAACGGAGACGATGGGTATGCGAGAAGATGGGCTTCAAGACCTAAGAACGTCAGGCTACGGGAAAGAAGTCACCGGCAGGTACAACGGATGCTTAAATAGCAGAGCTGATGCCGCAGCCGGTGACGATGCTGCGCAAAAGACTCCCAAGACCTACCCACGCTTTAAGCTTATAACGCAAGAATAAAAAGCACCCGATCGGCAGCGTGCCGATGAAGATGGGCGTTCGATACCCTAGGGATGGCGCCCGAGGCGCGTGCCATGCTCCGAGCCCAAAGAGAAGTGAGGACATTTAGATCCGAGGAAGGGCAAAGACACGGCAGACAGAAGAAACAAAACTACACGTTAACACACGCAGAGGCTGGAACTGCCCTGCCCGGGACAAGGTAACGTTGAGGGAAAAAGTAATCCGTTCCCTTTACCTGACAGTAGGGCCCTGCTCCTGTACAGCCTTCTCCCCATGCTAACTTTCAAACACTTCCCTGCAATTCCCAACCTCGGCCCCATTTGCTCGACTTAAGCTTTCAGAGGGCCGGAGGTCCGATTCCATCCGTGACAAAAGCAGCACAGCAGCTGACTAGCATATTCCTGCGGTGGTCAGATTCCTTTATCGCCTGCAAAAAAGCAAGAAGAGCACAACTGCTGGTCAGTATCATGCCGCTCCCTGCTTACCTCTTACGCAACACTGCCCCCCCATCCTCAGAAGCATTGCGGTGTTCCTCTCACCTGATTGGTTTGGAGTCAGGTGCTGCAGCCTTACGGTTGTCGCTTGTGGTACCTAACTTATCTAGAGACAAATTTTACCTTGTGCTTGTGAGAAGTCGCCGACCCCGTGCTTGTCCTTGCTACTACTCCGGCTGCTTTTCGATGCTCAGATGATCCCAAAGGTGGCTCACTTGGCACCTGCAGAACCAAGGTAATTGTTTAACCGAGTGGCCATATAAGACTACGCTATTAAACTCGGACCTGGCTGACGACCGCCTCACCTTCTCAGGTTGGTCATCGGCATGCTCCTTCACCCTTCCGAGGCTACGTGCGTCACCTGCACAAAAACAAAGTAGCAGCACTTGCCAAGATGCTGCCCAAAACTGCACCCCACCCATACCTATAACCGTCTCCCTCCCCCTTCGTTTACGTGCTCACCCGCTCCGCCTCTACTGTTTACAGGTTGTCACGTTGAGGCTCGGGTACCGCTTGCAAGACGAGCGACGAGGCGTGCTTCTACCTTCACCGATAGGACACCTGAAAAGTAACTGCTGCTTCAGCCCCCTAGTCACGGCTCTTCTCGCCCACATCCCCTCCGGTGCCAAAACTTCGCATTGCTCGACGCTTTGCGCCTTCCGAGTAAAATGCACCTATCGGCCAGTCATATAGCCACCGGTCGCATCTTCCCCCGATGCTTCACACCAACCTACCTTCCTAAACTGCTCGATTTATCTTCTCTGTTGTCATTAGGTGAGCGAGTTGTCCCTCTTCATCTGCAAAAGAGATATTGAGTGAGTCATCTGGATGACGAGCAATAGCTTAACAGTTCCAGAGATCCCATTTTCATTTAGGTATACCACCCCAATTCTCTCGACAGCCTGGTGTCAATAAAACTCTGCTCATCCCCTGCATGTCTGCGTAGCGCTACAGAAAGAACTCTTCTTGCCTGTTGGCTACATAATTAGTTGCTCTGAAATGGACGGTACGCCTTTTCCCTACAAAGTCCAGGCTTATTGACATAGAACCTTACTGTGCTTCTACAGCTGCCACCTCTACGCACCCAGGCAGAGCAGCTCCGACAGACAAACACGCACAGACCGACACGGCACACAGACAAGACGAGAGACATAAAATAAGCTCTTTAAGAGGAAAGACTCAGATCGGAGATGCTATCGGACAAGAAGACCTATGGGGCCGTGAGGAAGAATGGACGGCAGGCAGAGAAGAGTCAAGTGTTGTGGCCTGAGAGAAAACCTTATAGCCTCCGCAGGGATAAGGCATGTGCAAGTAATCTCACTTCAAGACCTAAGAACATCAAGATGCGGAGAAGAACTCCCAGAAAAGATATTTGTGAAGATGGATCGCTGTACGTCAGAGATGTTAACGCAGCCTGGAGCGACATTGCAAATTCAGCCTGACCGGAAACTTCTGAGACCTAGCCACGCTTTAGGCTAGTAAAGCAAAAACAAGAACTGCCTGGTTGGCACCGTGCCGATGAGGATGGGTGTTCCGGGCCCAAGGGAAGATGTCCAAGGCAACTACTGTGCTCCTTGAGCTCAAAGAGCCATGAGGATGTCGAGACCCAAGAAAAGTCTAAAGACACACGAGACAGACAACACGGACTACACGACGACACAGGCCGGAACTGTGCTGCCTGGCACGTGCTAACTTCGTGCTGAAAAGAAATGCCTTCCACCCCCACTTCTGCTGCCCAAAGAGCACTGTTCCTACACGGCCCTCTCCTGTAAATTAACTTTAAAACTTCTCCCTGCAATTCCCAACCTTGGGCTGCCCCCCAGAGCCTTCTCCCAAGCACCGGTCCCTTGACTTATCTTTTACGGTGCCGGGATTCTGAATCCATTCTTGAAACAACAACGCACTGGGTAACCAGGTTATTCCCACAGTTGCTGGGTTCCTCTTTGCCATCTGCATAGAAACAGGGTGAGTCATAAGGACGTTATTGGTTGATGAGCACCTCACCTGCAACACCCTCCTCATCAAAAACAGCATAGCTTTCATCTCACCCCATCTCAAAACCGTACAAAATCCTCCTCTCCTCAATTGACTAGAAAGAAACCATGCTCCTTCCTAGAATTAAAATTAAACAATACGCTTTATTAAACTATCTTGCCCTCCCAAACAAAATTACTAATGTAAACTAAAAAAAAAAAAAAAAAAAAAAAAGCAAGCAAACTACATATAAACATTCTATCTCCTATATATGATGCTCTGAACCTTGACCGGTCCAGAAATATCTTACCTCAAATGGCTCTGTTCCTCTAGAGATCAAAACACATCTGTCTCAAAAGCTTAAATGGCTCAAAAGCTGCTACTGACTGAAGGACTGAGAGAGCACTGACTCCTGAGAAACCCAGGAGTGGAATGAGCTCCCTGTCCAGCAGCTGGGGCTTATATACCCCGGGGCCCGCCCACCAGCCCGCCCACAATCCCCTGGGAAAGGGGCGGGGCCAACCCCCCGCAGGTATAAAGTCAGCCAGAGGAGCAAAGGGGAATTTTCTCCTCTGCCTAAAGTTTATAACACGCGTAGCACTCTGCGGAGAAAGCGACTCTTACCAGAAATGACTATACCCGCTCTTTTACTGGGCCTGTTGTGTCGGCGATGCGACCCGGTAGGGAGTTCTGCTTAATTTTTCCAGGGTATACGTAGAAAAAGATGGGTATTTGATTAGGCTCTGTACCAAAAGAGTTGAATAAAGGCAATAGCGATACTCTTATCGACAACGATGTGCTTTAGTTTCCAAGAAAACAACCAAAATGCTATAGGGTTATGCTTCGTTTCTACAGAGACTCCACACGCTACCTAGCTTCTACTGGAATTATGCTGTGGATGAAACTGAATGAGAAAGTGGGGGTAGATCCTACGAGAATCCCTCCTCTGGGAAGTCTGGAGGGGATCTGAATGGACTGCGCGTGCTCTCTGAGCACCAGGGATGGAAAGGACGCATCCTAGCTACCGTAGAGGAAGACGTGAACTTTCTGCAGACAAACTATAGCGTCCGGAAAGGTCCTCTTGACACGCGGAGGGCGCAAAGCGCGCCGCCGTTTTGCCGATCGATGGGGTTAACGCAAAGGGCGCAAAAGCTGAGCTAAAGAGATAGGCTTATTTGGCTGGCTGTCTCGAGGTAATAAGCGATAGGTAAGAAACGAGGTGTTTAAAAATTAAGGCGATGTGTCCAGTCCTTACTATACCAGATGAGTCGTAGTGATTAAGAAAGATACATCACCGATCGTCCTGGTGCTTAACCGTCGCCTGGATCTGTGCTTCAGCCGGGGAGCCCCGTCACGATGAAGGATCGGAGAGACTTTCCCGGCAACTGGCGAGTCCTACACGGTGCGTCCGCTCGTGGACGAGGTCTCCGTCTTTGCTGCGCGAGGGTTCCGGTTTTAGATGGGTTAACGAACAAATCTGTAAACGTGTAGAACTGACAAAATGCACGCAAGACATCGGGTGGATTGAGTCGCCTCATCATCCTCCTTTGGGATTCTTTCCCGAGCCTGGCCGAGGCTCGAGGAGGAACCAAGGGAGTTTGTGTATTCGACCTCGATAATGGGCTTCTAAACGAGGAAATGTCAACATAAGAGGAACCGAGGGAGTATGCGTAATCGACCTCAGTAATTGGCTCCTAAACTAGGAAATGTCGGTATATTCCTGTACTGTTTTATCTAAGTTACTTATCTCAATAATGAGATGTTCTATCCAAGCTACGTATTTCAGTAATGATCGGATACGGTCAGTATATAACACGTTTGGTCGTGAGATTCGTCTAGAGGGTGACTTTGGCTCGAGACCTGTCGTTCAGGCCTTGGTACTTTGACGGCAGAGCTGATAAAGGGCGGCGGAGCACGCGGACGGCCTCGGGAGGCACTCTGACATCGGGAGAAGAGCAAAACATAAAAGACGGCTCTCGCACGGGATGCTTAACTAGAGAAGGCATCCCCGCGACGTACGGAGGTTCTCGGGGGACGACCGACCAAACGGATGCATCCGAAATGGCGGTGATTAAGTAAGACGGCTCTGGGGTGTGGACAAAGCCCGAGGAAGGGATCTGTCCGCGTAAGAGATGTACGCGGAGAGCCGTGGAGCTCAAACAGTGCTGTCAGACACGAGGATTGTCTCGAGAGACGTCGTGACGAGAACGAGAGGGCTCCGGGGAGCGGAGGGAACATGGGTGTGGAGACAAACAAAGGACAAAAAATAATTTGAAAAAAACACGAACGGAAGACAGGTAGCCAGGGTACATTAAAAGCGATGGTTAATAAAGAAATACTGAAATAAATAAGAAATATTGATGGCAAAATACAGGTGAGATGTAGAAATAAAATTTTAGGGGTCAGCAATGAGGAAAACTGAGACAAAATAATTTAAACACAAATGTGGTGACCGAGATATGAGCCAATTGTAAAAGCCCAGGGATGAAGAGACAAACGAATTTCAAAATACTGACGGCAAACCGAAACACCGCTGTTGCAAAATGGCCGAGCAAAAATAATTGCTTAGCGTAGCGTAAAAACTTAAGCGATTGGTCAAACGCCTATGACGTGTCATCTGTCACACGGAGATCCATCGGCTAGGTGAGCGTGCTAAACGCCTCCCCGGAAATGTGTATCTGGGGAGGCTCCGTGTCTCATTGAGAGACTCCTAATCGGAAGCCCTCATCCTTCAACATCAAGGCCCTCTGAAAAACAACAAACTAGCTGAAGGCAGGCAGGATGTAAGAAAGCGCAGACGTAAACCGAAGAAAGGCCCATTCTAAAACCTAGACGAAGTTCGAGAAAGGATCCTCTCCAGAAACTGCTATAGACCGCTGTTGGAGAATGGCTCAGAGACAAGGGTCCTGAGCCCACCGAGCAATTGTATGATCAGAGCCTGCTCTAGCTGCTGATGCTGAGCCTCACTAGGGTTTGCCTGCAGCTGCTCGCAGCTGCTGATACCTGAGGAATGTCAAGGACGCTTCAGCCTTGTGTACCATGGTGTGTCGAAAACAGGCTAAGGGGAATTAGGAATAGTGGTCTGAGAAACCTAGTGTTATGATAACGGTGGTCTGAGAAACATTGTGTTACGGTACTGTCGTGTATCGAAAACAAGTCAACAGGAATCAGAAATAGTAGCATGAGAAACTCAGTGTTATGAGAAGCTTGTGCTGTAAACTAACTGCAAGTAGGTGGACCGTGCAAATACGACCCTCAGAGCTTAAGCCAATCAGCTAGAGACTAGTAGGCATAATTAGTAGAAAGATTATAAAAGGCTGTAATGAAAATCAATAAACTGAAGCACACTTTATCACTCATACTGAGTCGGCTACGTTCTTCCTCCTTGGCCTGGGTCCTCGGCTCGCCCAGCCCAGCAAATGGCGCATGAACAGGGACCCTCGAGAAAAAGGGTCAACCGGGAATAAAGGGACTCTCGAGAAAAAGGGACCCTCGTTGAGGCGAGAATAAAGGGATCCTCGAGATGAAAGGAACCCTCGTTGAAGGACCTGGCTGAAGGACAAGGAGCAGTGCGCCGGGGGCAGTGACCGGCAGGCAAAAAGAGCGACCAGAGCATCGCGTCCTGTGGTGTGTCGTCTCCGGCCTGAACCGATTGAAGTTCACCACTGCAAGGGCTACAAGCTGAGGGCTGCAAGGATATTATAACAGGTATTAAGGTACATGGATTTTGAAGTAGCCCTAGATTTATTACAGAGCTTTTTAGAAAAGCGTGGGACAGATAGTAGTTGCATTAAACAGCTAGCTGGTCTAGTGGCAATGGGCAAAACAAAAGGGGTGTTTTAAGGACTCTGATCTGTTGTTTGATGAAGAGGACTGGAGGAGATATGGAGATACGCTATGGGATATGGTGATAGATGATGATAAACTTGCTAAGAAATTAATGAAACCTTGGAGGGAGATAATCAATAACATTAAGCGCCATAAGGTTGAGAAGAACTTGGCTGCTGTGGCTGCTCAGAAATTAGGACACTCAGAGTCATCTGTCCCACCGCTAAACGCGGGAGTGTCCAGTTTTTCTTGCGCACCTGCCGTGTCAAAACCAGGGAGTGATTTGTTGTTTAGTACAAGCAGGGTGCCGGTGCCACCGTGCTGGCAGTCCGTACGTGTTACTGAGAATTTCGCGGAAGAGGTAAAAGGGACCAGTGAACAGATAGAAGCAGAAAGTATTAAGGAGCAAGTGATGTCAGAGGGACAGGGGGGAGCAGCGTGCCACCATAAACTCTGCCCGCCCCCCCCCCCCCCTTCGGATGGTTCCGCCCCTGACAGCGCGTCAGCGTCTGGCTCAGAGAGAAAAGCTGCGGCTCTGTCCGAATTAAAGCACCAGGGTCACACATGGGTAAAGGACAGTGACAAAGTCCAAGAACTTGAAAGAAAATTACAGAAGTTAAGCTACAGAA